CATGTTTTTATAAGCGGAAGTATTTTAGGAAGGCAGTGCACCACACGTTTTTTTTAAACTTCCATAACACTTTTGCAACGCCGGCAACACGGTTTTCGAAGTGGAGGGGCACAATCGTCAATTTTCAAAAAAAGTCCTCTATATCTAGTGTAATTTTCTTTATATATATATAAAAAAAGTCGTTTATAAAAAAACTGTGTATGTGAGTGTGTGTAGGAGGGTGGGGCGCTGCTTTTGAACAGCCTCCCTAAAATAAGACATTTACCAGAAAAAAATCTGCGCGGATATTTTAAATAGTAATAAGTCAACTCTTCTATTTTGATATTAGATATTATATATTTTAAAAGAACAAATATTTAAATTTTTAAATTTCACTTTAGTAAGTTTGTGAAGTTGTGTACGCACGCACTTTGTGTTTTACACTCGACTTTTGCACGGTCTACAGCTGGACTATCTTGGTAGCTCTAACCTATTTATTTTTGTAGTCTTGGATGTTTTTAGCTTCTTTTACATTGAATATTAGTTTTCTTTTGACAATAGCCCAACATCTTTCGATAGGACATATTTCGGGACAATTTTGTGGATTGCAGTATTTTTCAACGAAATCTACTTTATGTTTTCCTAACCAGTTTTAATTTGTCCCAGACTAATGACATGATGCTAAACCGGGCTAAAATAACAAATTATTTGTATGAGATCTTAAAAGCCGCAAAAGACACTTCTTTAAGCATTCTTTGATGTAAATTTCAGTGTTAATTGTTCCCGTAGTCACAAAACAAGAGGTTCTTTCACTACATTCACAAATTGCTTGCGAAACTAAAAATTATTTAGCAAATTTTTCCATTCCAATGCATTTATATTTGAATCTCAGTTTCTTGCGTTTAATTGCTCTATAATATTGGTGTCTTGGAAAAGATTGGACATATGCAGCACAATAAGTTTTATTACCAATAAACAAACAAGACTTTTTTTGCACATGATTTTTTATAGAGCAGTTTTGAAAGGCAAATTGCATCATTTTCTTGCGTTTCTTCACAAGTAACTTTTTTTCCTTTTATAAGATTCATAGCCACAATTTCTTTTCACTCTTTGTGTAGGGGAAGCACATTTCTTAAACTTTTTTGCTAAAGTTCAGAAATTTCCGGATTTCTGTCTATCTACCATAAACAAAGACTTTAACTTTTTTAACAAAATCTCGTCAAACAAAAACTTTTTTCTTCCACTTCCTGATTTCCTTTTGATTGTACCTGTGCCCTGATTTCCTTTTGATTGTACCTGTGTCCTTAAATATTTTTACTATTCTCTGCACTTTTCTCAAAGCAATATACAACTCTTTAGAAATTGTTTTGTTTGATAGACCAGGGTTTTCAACCAGAAAATAGAAAATATTTTCTCGTTTCTTATCTTGATTTCAATTAAAACTAATTGCTTTGATAACAGAGTTGTTTAAGTTTTGAATAAAACAAATAAAATATCATTATAAAATATTTAACTAGTTAATGCAAGGCTGTGGAGTCGGAGTCGTGTAGTCGGAGTTGCGACATTTTTAGCGGAGTAGAAGTCGCTAAATAAAATCACGATTCCGACTCCAATAGTAAAACTTCTCGGTATTGCACGTTCATGTACAAAATATTTAACCTTTAAAGAACTTATTATATATTTAAAAAAAGTAATAATTTTTAATTATCGTTTAACATTTTTTAATGAACTTTTCAAAAATTTTGATTTGGAGTTGGAGTCGGAGTTGGGGTCGGAGTCGTACTCTGAAAATTTCAACAATTGGAGTCGGAGTCGGTACTTTTTTTTTACGACTCTTCTTCACTGAATTAATGTAATGTACAGTTTCCGTTAACAGCACATTAGAACACGCGCTGGTTTTTACTGTACATGTCTTACTTTCGTTTTCAAACATTATGCTGCTTTAAACATATAAATTTACAAAAAAAATTCCGAAATCCCTTAGGTTGGGGTGGGGGACAATTCCACATCGCCCGCCCCTATGGGTTCGCCCTTCCTCAAATATTAAAACAAAAGCGTCCGTCTCTAAATTATATAGTAAATTAGAGAAGATAAAAAAAAGAAAGCAAAACTTAAAATCTACAAAAGAAAAATTACAAAATAAAAGCAAAACGAATCTTGTCAGCAAGAATGCAAAAATAGTGTTTATAAAAACAGGTATAATATTTAGAAACAATTTCATTAAGAAATTAATGTATATTTGTTAAAATTAACAACAACAAAAATTACAGAAATACAAAACTTGGAGGTAGAAAGAAGTTGTCATATAATCGAGTCGCGTTAAACATAGAGCTATTTAATCTTTTAAAAATTTTAATACGTAATGAAATGTTACAAATTCACAAAAAATTGAATTACGCTTTATTAAAAACAATTATATACTAAAAATAATTATTAAACAATAAAAATAGTTACTAAAGAGTGATTTTTCAGAATAAGCTTACAAATTTTAGTAACAAAAGCTATGGGCACAGTGATATTTTGTGCACAAGAACGAAAACGAGAACAAAAAAAAATCTTTTCGTTTTCGAAAACAAAAACTAAAACGAAATTTATCTTAAGAGCGAAAACAGAATAAAAACGTTAAATTTAAATTTTTGAACGAAATAAAAACTGAATTGAAAATTATTTTAAAACGAAAATATTTTCTTTCTATTCTCTTGATATATATATATATATATATATATATATATATATATATATATATATATATATATATATATATATATATATATATATATATATATATATATATATATATATATATATATATATATATATATATATATATATATATATATATATATATATATATATATATATATATATATATAATAACAATATAATGTATGAAACGAGTTGTCTTATTTGATATTTATATGTATATATATATATATATATATATATATATATATATATATATATATATATATATATATATATATATATATATATATATATATATATATATATTTATTATAACTCAACTGAATATAGCTATTATATAGTTTAAATATATTAATTCGAACTGGAAAAAATTCAATTGATAGACTGATAAAAATTCAATTGATAAACTGATAAAAATTCAATTGACATACACAACTACACAATGAGTTTGAGTAAACTTTGTGCTATTAGAAAGAGGCATAGTTTAGTATGGAAATGGTTTAATTACGATGCGTCATCCGAAAAATTAGTATGTTTAGTTTTACTTGATGGTGAAACAGTATGCAATACAAAGTTGTGTGGAAAGAACCAAACAAATCTAAAGATTTGTTTACCTGTTAAAGGAATTGTTTTTATTTTGAAATAAACGACTTGCCATTTTAGAGTAACTATTCAATTACGTATCATGGCTGACGACATAGGTTTTGAAATGGAGGGGCACAATCGTTTATTTCAAAAAATAGTCCTCTATATCTAAAAAATTCTGGAGAAAAAAAGGTTCTATAGAGTGGGTGGCACGTGCCCTCTAGCCTTAACCCCCCACCCCCGTAGTCGGCCCTGCGTATGCGAACTTATTTATAGATAGGTTAATAAATAAAGTAAAAATATAGAAATAAAAAAGTTATAAATATTGTTTATCTTTGCCTAGCTTTATTTGTCAAGAAACAAAAAGTCTGTACCTGTTGATCTGAAGAGTCAGAATTACAGAAATTAAATTAAAAAAAGCATAGGAAGATAAAGAGAAAAGCAGTGGATAAGGATGAGGAGGAGGAGGGTGGTGAGAGAGGCTCTGAATCCCAATCCTTGGGACTAGGTGTATTTTGTTAAATTTAGTTACGCTTTTTCATTTTTATATTTTTTTAGAGCACTAAAGGGTTGTCCATTAATTACATCAACAAAATAGGCGGAGGGGTCGAAATTTTTTGACAATTGTTGACATGGTGAGGGGGGAGATCAATTAAAGTTGATGTCAACAATTTTTTTTTTCAGTTTTATTGCTTAAATAACGGAAAATTAGGCTGAGTTTGTATCGTAGCTTCTTTGTATATGATGGGGGGTAATCAAAAATTGACGTAATTTTATAGGGGGGACTCTGGAAATTTGACAAATTGTTGACTAGGGGGGGGGGAGAATTAAAAATTTTCAAAAAATTATTGACGTAACAGTTGGGTAAGGTGTTGTCCATAAATTACGTCACGCAATTTTTGATCGTTTTCGAACTCCCCCCCCCCCCATCGTCACAAAATCGTAACACTTAAGAAGCGAGTTATGAATGAGTCGTCACAAAACCACCAACCCCCCCTCCCCTTTATAGCGTGACGTAATTTATGGACGACCCCTAAGGCGTAATACCTAATTGTATAACTTTGTTTAATGTTACCATGGTTTATGCTGCATGCTTAAAACTCCCAAAAACAAAAAAAGAATAAAATGTTTTAAGAATTGAGTTTCAAATCCGTGAATTTAACTATATATAACTAATTACCGAAACACCAATTAGGATATTATGCTTTATTAATTGATTCACCGCTACAGAAACGTAGCAATAAGGATTACTTGTATGAGATCTTAAAAGCGGCAAAAGACTATTAAATAAGTTTCTGTAACGAATAAGAAATCAGTACCAAATAAATTTAAAACCTCCTAAAGTACGTGTAAAACATCCCACGGAATCAACATATTTTTGTTTTATGTCTAGACCGTGACGAACACGTGTCTATACGGGTTTTAATTCCAAAAGGGAAACTAGATGTGCCGGCTGGAAATTTAGTAGATGTAAAAATATATATAAACTAAATTATATTAAATTACATAAAAGTACCATAATATAATTTAATTTATATACATATATTTTTAATGAAAGTTCTACGTTCCAAGTTGATGTCAGTTGTTTTTAGTAAGTTCTCTCCTTGATTCTTAACAAAATGTATAGAATTTATTAGTTGATCTTTTTGACATTTATTTTATAACTTATTTGTCTTATAATAAATTATTAGACATAAATGAAATATAAAACGTAAATATTAAACCTTTACCAATGAAACTCTTTGCCATGTCTGACAATTGCGTTATATAATCCTTCAAAAACTAACAGAAATAAACAGATTAGTAAAAACCAAAATCTCGTATCTTTTTCTTGCTTAGTTACTATCCATATACATAACAACCCATGACCAAGAAACAAAAATCTCGGAAACAAAGCTCGAAATAAAAGTTTCGGAAAGCTCTTTTTCTTTATTTTGTTTGTAATATTTACCATATCATCTCAGAAATAAATCTAAATTTTAAAAACTTTTATATTCAAACGCGAATATAAAAACTGAAAAAACAAAAGTTAACCAAACAAAATAAAAATAAAAAAAACGTCTAACTTCAAATATTTGTTTTGTTATATTTCCTTATATCATTTTTTATTGTATAACTTTGGGCTGCACAAAAAAAAAATAATAATAATAAAAAAATTAACCACTTTGAGTTTTTTTACATTCAATTTACTATTCAATATAAAACAAGTAAAATAACTTACGCTTTGACATATAAATTCGAAATAATAAGAAAATGGATTAATGTAACCGTTAAAATAACGATAATCTTAAGAACAATTATTAAATCGTTTTACCTGACTGTTACAATTAAAAAGCAAATAAATAAACTCTCCAGCGTAAAATTAACATTAGCACAGTAAAAAAAGTATAGTTCAAGCTTCGTCAAATAGGACAGAGGAGGGAGGGTTCAAGGATGTAAAAAAAAAGTTGAGTGGGAGTTGAAAATGTTTGATTGGATACGTTCAAAAAAGTTGAATTCTTTCTTATTTTAACTAAAACTTAATTTTACCTTTTATATTATTATTATTTTTTACAAACTAAATTTGATGAATTAGAATGTACGCTGTCGGATTATGTTATCGGATTATGAACAATGTGTTATTGCGATTACGGTAACGGTTTAAAAAAATTGTTTCGCTTTAAAGTAATATTGAAAGTAAAATTAGTAAGAGAAATCTCACCGTTGATTTTTTATAATCATAATTAAACACATCATAATTGCTAATTGATTTGTTAAATACGCTTATTACGCAATACATTTTTTATTACTGAATTTGTTTTAAATCTAAGTAATATTGACATAAGTTGGGCTTAAACAGTTTTCCTTTTATCTGTTTTTATATAACATATTATTTTTATGCAATAGATCATAACGTAAATAAAAAGTAACTTGAGTAATAGTTTATAACAATTTTTTTTTATAATTATTTTACAACATCGGAACAAATAATAGCATCAAAAAAATTAGGCAAAACTAAAAAATGGACTAAAATTGAGTTATATTTACAAAGCATATTAACGTCTTTCAAAATAAATAAACGGATTAAAAGTAATGGACTCTAATTGGATATGAAAAAACTAAACTTATTTATTTTTACAAACCTAGTGAAGGTGATAATATTCCTTTAAAATTATCCTAATCAATAAAACAATTATTAAAACTAAATCAAACGTTAATTTTATACAAGAAAGTTTAGATAATAATTTTTCAATAAAGCGCATATTATATATTTTGTTATTCGGAGAGACCAGGGCAAGATAAAGATCCAGGCGAGATAAAGAATGGGACGAGATAAAGAATGTCTTAAACTGTTAGTTTTTCATTAGCTGGCAGAATTGATCGGACGCTACTGGCTCTCCTAAAGGCTGTTCGTTAAAAAATTGTATAGAGACGCTGAAATCGTAATTTTTGTATTAGTTGTGAAACCTTGTTTGTTTACCGCTGCCTTCCTATGACTTTTAAGCATGGGTAAATAAACTCTACTACAGATATAGGTAAGTTATTTTGTTTCTCTTTAACATATCGCGACGTTAGAATTATCTTGTGCTATCTCCATGTTTTTGCAAACTGAGAAAATCGATGTCAAAGTTTGAATTTCGTTCGCAGCTAAATTGAAAAAATATTTTGAGAATTTAGGTATTTCCTAAGATTTAAAAATGTTTTATTATCAATTTTTAGATAAAAAAAACTTTTTAAAATTACGCTAACGCCCTTTTTTTCGCACCCTCTTTTGGAGATAGAACAAAATAACTTTGGTTTTTAGTAAAATTCAAAAATATTATGTTGTTACATCATATATATTAAACATATTAAGTAAATTTTTCAACAACGACATGTTAGAAATTGATGAAATTTTGTTCTACCTGCTAATTATTCTTACGCAGTACCATACACTTCTAATTTATGGGCATGGGCCCCTAAATTAGGGGCATGGGCCCCTAATTTAACGGGACCCTTTTCAAAATATAAGACGCTTTTTGTATTACCTAAAAAATTAAGTTTTTTTAAATAAAATGAGGCCCTAATTAGGAGAACTTTTAGAAGAGCCTCTAACGACACTGTTCTTACGACTTACATTTACTTTAATTACCTGTAGGCGCCGGCCCTGGACAAGACTAAGACGTCTAATTTGAAACGGAAAATTTGACTGCGTAATAATAATATAAACGTATTAATATAATATAAACGTATAAAATAAATTATGAAAGGTATATAGGAAAGAGTTATGTTAAAAAAAATGTAATAATAAAAGAAATAACATTATGTAACTATCTGATAATTCACAACAATTCAACTAATCTAATCACAAACTCCATGCAAGATGAACTTGATTTTATTTTTCTTATGCCTGTGTATCCATTAATAGAGTTTAACTTTTTATTAAAAGTTATTGCAAATATTTACAAATAAAAAATTGTTACTCAAGTTAACGTCAGGAAGGGCATCAGGTTGTGAAACATTGCTTTAACTCTTTCATAGTGGCCTTTATGTCACTATGGAAAACCATCCAAACCAAACAAGTGGGGGAAAATGAATATAAAAGTACAAAAAAACAAACAATAAAAACACAAGCTAAACAAAAATTTTTATCAAGATTTCAATATAATATTATTTCAATGTGTTTTATATTTATATTTATACTAAATAAATATTTTATTTAAATATGTTATTTATATGTATATTATTTATATTATTATATATATATATAAATATGTTATTTATATTTATACTAAACATATAACAACCCTAAAAATATTTTAACTTTATTAATGTTTTGTAAATGTTCAATTTATTATTGTTTTATAAAATGCAATATCAACAGCAGGCATGTATGAATACATGGAAATGATATCATTGGCTTTTGCAACAGATATAGACTGATAAGAAGCACGAAAGCAAGCTGCCATTGGTATATTGATATTTAATGGTTTTGCAACAATGGTTGATGCTGCTTTCTTGACAGACTTATTTATACGAGCTTGTGAATAATAATCTGAAAACGAGGTTTTAAAAAAAACATGGTATGGCAGTCCGTTTCGATAAACAAGATTTTTAACCTTTGAATAAGGCACTAACTTATAACTTGACAAACCAGCGACAACTGAAAAATTCTTTACATCTCCTAATTGCATTTGGTAAACACAGAAAGGTTTTTTACGGTTTACATTTTTAATAGCTCTTTCTAGCCCAAGTGGACTAAATATTTCTGCAGCAGGGAGGGATTTTTCAATCTGACTATAAATGTTGTCACATTCTTGAATGCTGGAATGACCTGGCTTGCAGAACTTCTGTTCAATTACTTTTATTTGTGGGTATCGTATTATAAATTCACACAAAGCTGCTGACATGAAACTATTGCGGTTTTGTGGTACACATGAATCGAACCAAAGTATGAACTTATTTATGTCAAGGTCAGCCATGATTTTCAAAAGCAAACATGTTACAGCACTGGCTAGATCATTTCCTCCACGACCAGTCATGGCTTTGTGCCAAAGAATGCAATAACCCTTCCTGTTAAGCGAGCAATGACCAGTTAAGTTATAATTTGAAAGTTTTCGTTTGTAATAAAAGTTTCCCACATTAGCTCTAGGCAAATTTAAAACATTTTCGAGGTCAATACAAACAATTGCAGTTTTAGAATCAACATTTTGGCGATCATTTTCACGTTCAGTTTTGGTATCATTCCTTGATTTTATGTGCTTATTATAACTATCTGTTTGTTCATTGCTTGCATTAACAATGTTGCGATACTCATAGCGTGTGTCACATAAATCTTTCTTCGGTTTTTGAAATTCTATATTGAACTCGTGATTAAAGATATAACGATACATATGTTCTTTTGCTGGAGGAGAGACATTTTCATCACAATATATTTTATAAAGATCATACATTCTACCTATATTTAGTGATCCTTCCATGTATTCTTTATGTGTCTTTTTCCTGCTATAATGAGCATCAATTCTTGGGAAAAGGTTAATATGGTCTCGTACAACTTGTTTAGACTCTTCTAGTAACCTTTTTTTAACATGTTTCCCTGATTTTGATTGCAGTGGTGTTCCAGTAGTTAAAGATTTATTAAACTTATGAAAGTAAAACACTCTATGGCTGCTAATATTCAATGTTGAAAGATAATATGATTTACAAACTCTATATTGTGTATTAGAAACAAAAAAGCTATAATAATAAGATGTTTTTCTTCTTGAATTGTCACCAGCAGCTGTCCGACAGCGTTTTTTCTCCAGATTTTCAGTAGTTTTAGAATAGAAATGTTTTTTTCCGTCATCATCTAAGGTCCAAAAGTTATCAAATATTATTTGACGCTCAATCTCAGATATATTGGTAGAACATTTAAATTTACAATTTCTGCAACTTTTTAGTGCAACAATAGATCTTTTTGGCATTTGTTCTCCTTTCGTATTTTTATAAGCTTTACCCGACTGACGTTGGATTTTTCTTACACTTTGTTGTCAACTACTCCTATCAGCTTTACGTTTCCTAGAAACCCCACCATGATGGTGGGGTTTCCCACCATGATGGTGGGGTTTCTAGATTAAAATATTAATTTTTTATCATCCAGGATGTATTAATAATAACTTTTAAATTTAATCTAAAATGGCACAAGCGAAAGTCGAATTCTACTTTTCCAAAATTATAATACAAATTAAATTGAAAAACTACCTTCGTTTTGATTTAGGGCAGGTTCCATTTCTTGGTCAATATTTGCAGTTGCCATTTTGAAAACAAAAAAACTGATAAAATTATTCCGAACAACTTTGTAATTGTAATTGGAGATATAACAAGATAATATTTTCAAGTTTGCTCATTAAGGAGATAGAACAATGCAATATTGCATGCAATACCGTGTTAAAAGTTTCATTTTTTTTTCAATATAATTAAAGTAGAACAACACAATGCTAAAATATTCGAAAATAATAAAATCTCAATTTTTTCAAAAATTGGAGATAGCACAAGATAATTCTAACGTCGCGATATATAAGTATCTTAGTTTAAGTACAGATTGTCCGGGAAAAGATGATGTGGGCAAGATAGCGAGCTCGTTGTCTTGCTCCATGTTTAGAAATTTATTTTATAACTAACCATAATTATGGTCAAGGAGGTGTTGTGTTAGCTCAATAAGTATTAGTATTAGCTTGATAAGTATATCGTAATTTAAGAAGGAGAGCAACTACCGTGAAGAAGACTCGATTGCAATTAATTAAAGATAATTATAATTTCTAACTGAACTCTTACAAA